TTCATCTTCCAAATATACAACAATTGATTCTCTTGCAAACTCCAGAAGCTCGTGGCCCTAAACAACAAATTTTCTCGGAACTAAACCAAATAGGCAGTGAAAATACAAATCCATGCAATTTATCAACACAAACCCTGAAATTGAAACGAGCAAGAGTCTGCAAAGCAAGTTGCACAAGAGCTGAACCATTAAGGTCTGATATTTGGGTTCCAATATTAATTGTACTTCCCCGAACAGAAGGGACAGCGGGCTTCACTTGAGAATAATGAGATTTTGAAAGAACTAAGGAAATGCAATCAAGTAGGCGATCTTGTATGGTTGGCAGCAAAGACGGAATACTGAAAAAACAATAAACAATTAGGAAACTAAAACCCCTTTTAAGGCATTGATATATAACTACACATAAGAACAGAAAGTCTGTGGATATTTTAGTTCACCTAATTGTTATTTGCTCCAGGGCCTCTACAAGTACAGGAGAAAGGCCAGCAGAAAACATAACATCCAGAAGCCCCCGAACATGAGGTTCCATTGCAGGCCCCATTGCTTTTGCAATGTTACCAACACAAGCCAGAGCCTCAAGTGAAGGTCTACCTCTACGCGGAGCAATCTAGTTACAGACATGCGGACAATCAGAGGTCTTCTTCCCAGTTATACTACAGCAGGAACCAACACATTCAAACTATAAAGAAAAAGTAAAACAAATGTCAGTACACATTCTTATTTACCCACCGCATCACGTAAGTGAGACATAATTGTCGGCAAATAATGGACAAGTTCTCCATCCAAAGCACCAGCCATCTCCCCAAGGGCAATGAACCCACTGGCACGCTCAGCTGGTATTCGCAGAACAGTGAGAATATGATTCATGCATATCTGCAGGACGTCACAACTCATATATAAACAAACTAAATAAACAGCACATATATGCAAAAGACACTTGAAAAACAAAACACTGTTAGAGCCAACATCATATTAAGACCAAAAATGACTGGAATTTTCCTACCGTTAAATAGTTTGTCACAAATCGATCACGCAGAAAATGAGCAATACGAGGCAGCAATGAAGTTATGCTTAGGCGAACAAGCCGATCACGGTGTTCTAGGTACCTGAGAACAATTTCAGCAACTTCTCTATACCTTGACATCATGAACTCACCCGTATTCCTGCAAGAGAAAGTTCCAGTTACTCCATGCTAAAAGAAACTACCTAATACCGGTATTAAGAAATAGCTTCTAGAGGATATTTGAGATTCCTTAAATAAGTACAATCAATTAAAGTACCTAGATGCCGATTTAAAGAAAAAGAATTTATATATTCAGACAGAAGTGCTTATCAGTAAGAAAGGGCTTATTACAATTTCAGTACTCCGTGTCTTTGTTTTTTAACATTTTCACATCAATTTATTAATTTTTTAGGCTATTATCATGTACTATTTTGGTTTTCTCCTTGAATTTCAATTTTTTTTTAAATAATCAATTTCAATTTATTTAGTAGCCTAAGCACGTGCAGATGCCCTATAAAAATCAAATGATCCTGTGTAAAATGATAAAAATCATGCAAGGAACTAAACAGCCATAAAAACCCACAAAATTCAAACTATAATAAGAGCAAACCATTGGGAAAATTGCACTTTACCTAAAAATAAGCACTAAGGTTACTTTTGTTAAGAAAATAAATATTTAGAAATAAAAATATAACATTTAAATCACTTCAAGCCCATTTAAAAGTAAGCACTAGTTATACATTTTTTAGAAAAAATAGAAAACCATATACAAAAAACATGAACCAAAAGGGTGGAGCCCGAGTACAAAAAAAAATAATAATAATAATAATAATTACAATGCTCTGAAGGACAAGGATCCAATAAATCTATAAAATCAAAACCATTCAAGGACTTGTCCTTGGGCAAAATATTAGAGATCCTAAACATGGTCCCTAATCTCAACAGAAGAAAACGAGACACCATCAAAAGCTCTCTTGTTCCTCTTTTTATAGATACCAAACAAATGATCAACTGAATGAGCAATATGATCTCCTTTTTTAACTTGATCACCTTAATGCCGGTCAAAATCCAAATTTCTTTCTTGACATCCTCAAGTATCTCCCAGTGGAGGTCAAGATTAAGTCAAATCCCAGAGTCTTCTCACAATCCAAATTTTGGTTTAGGAAAGTGTATAGGCAAGACTTCACAAATGCCGATCAAAATCCAAATTTCTTTCTTGACATCCTCAAGTATCTCCCAGTGGAGGTCAAGATTAAGTCAAATCCCAGAGTCTTCTCACAATCCAAATTTTGGTTTAGGAAAGTGTATAGCAGACTTCACAGAAAATTCACTCTTCTCGTCAAATTTCAAGACAGCATACCATTGACCAGAGACTGCCTATTAGTTCCTCCAGCAGTGCTGCAAACACTGTTTATTAGCTTACACTGTTGACACAACTTAGT